GGCGGGGGCGGGGGTTGCAGCCTGAGGTTCCCCCGTCAAGCCTCACCAGGGTAGAGGGTGCACCCTGAGGTCCCCTTCAAGCCCTGCCAGGTGGGGGCCGTGCAGCCTCAGGTCCCACACCTGGCGCTAAGGCAGGGGGCGTGGCCTGAGGTCCCCCATCAAGCCCTGCCAGGTGGGGGACATGGCCTGAGGTCCCCCGGCCTGGTGCCTGGGCGGGGGCATGCCCTGAGGTCCCCTGTCAAGCCCTGCTGTTTGGGGGATGCGGCCTGAGGTCCCCTGTCAAACCCCACAGGGGCGAGAGGGGGGTGCAGCCTCAGGTCCCTGCCGATTGCTCGTTAAGGCTCATTATGGAAACTCAACCTCTGCTGTGCGTGCAGCCATCTTGTGTTATGGAAACCCTGCTTCCGCTGTGGACGCAACCATCTTGTGTTACGAAAACCCCTGCCTCCACTGTGGGTGCCACCATATTTGTGGTGGAGTGATGGGTCAATTTGCATATTCCCTCTTTATTATATAGGATCTGTTTTTCCCCTTTGTTTCCTGCATTTTTAAGAAAACTTTTTGACTTAACCTTGAAAATACTAGTTTCTAGAACCTATGTAGAAACTTTTTTGTTTCCAAAACTAGAATGGCATTTGGTTTTATAGATTATGTAACTTAAAAAACAAAAGAAAGAGAAGAAAGAAGGACAGTGTTAGATTCCTATATATTCTTTATATATGTAACATCTAGGAAAGTGCCACCTTTGTTACTAAAATTCACCATTGTGTGTCTTTAATACTGAAAACAGGCCACTCTTGATAGCATAATGCCAATAGTGACTTCAGACAGTTTCTACCTGTATAGATATTTAGTATGACTTGGTACTGATTTACATTGAGTTGGGGAACTATGTGAACCAGGATCCAGGTACAAATGCTTTGGAGAGAAAACCCCAGCAAGAGCTGTGGGCTTGATCATTGAGAGGGGCTGGCTCCAGTGCTAGTTTCCCTCATGATGTCAGATTGTTACCGGCTTCTGAAAAGGAAAAGGAAGTAGCATTTTGCTCTGTAATATGCTAATTGGGAGACAACACAAGCTCCCTCGTAGGGTTCCCAGAGCCTTGTCAGTGAACAGGGTATATCTTCAGAACTGCAGGTTAACAAAAAGGAGGGCTGATGGGTGAAGAGCCTTGTGCTGAACTGAACTCATACTGTCTTTTCAGTAAGAATCCCCAGAGTATGTGATGTTAGCAAAGGGGAAAAACAGATATAGTATAAAGGAATATAATGTTGTATATTATACACATGAAAGCCACTTTACATTTTTGTTTTAAAGCCAGGCCTGGGATCAGTTTCTCTGCATCTGATCAAATCAGCAATTAGATACCCAAGAGTGACCAAAATAAATAACACCACTGGGTGTTTAATAAGTGCACCAGAGCTGAGACACCCAAATGAGAGCGAAAGTAGCCCCTTCCAAGTTGTCCTCTGGGAAGCTGTGTACTTTTTCCAACAATGCTGCTGTTGCTAAAAATGTTTTTGGTATTTTTCTTTCAACTGTACAGTTAGAGTCTACCACATAGGCGGTTCTCCTGTTGACAGATGTTTATCTTTAGAAAGATGAAGAAGCTAACTAAATATTTAGAAATAGCCAAAGTCATTCTGAGTTCTCCTTGGCAGGTAGTGTAGGAGAATGATCAGGTGGACAATTTTGTTTGGGTTAAAAGTGAGATCTGATATTTTTACGTGGTCTGTCTTCTAGTTCTTAAAGCAGTTTGTGAAGAGTTATTTCAAAACTACTTTGAATAAAGGAAGCATAGTTGAAATAAGTACATTGTTTCTGGGTGTGTCTACTTTGATAATACAGTTAGTCAAATGAATACATTCTGGTTATGTATCTTGTAAAGCCTTATTATCCTTTAGTCTCAAGATTATTTCAAAGTACCATGAATTGCTGTTTGACACTTACTATGGTCAGAGTTCCCGGTACAAATGAAACTGTACAAAAAGAGAAAGAGAACTACTAGAAAGAATAGGATATGGAGAGGATGTTAGAGTTGCTTTGCAAGTTAACCTTACACTAGGCTCCCAGTTTTTCTTCTGTAAAAATGAATCTATATATATATATAAAAAGCCAGTGATTGGAATGCCAGAATGCCCAGAACAACTGGAATGACCGGTCACTATGATGCCCATTGCGGCTGGCCAACTGGCCCAATCAGGGGTGGGGCCGGCTGACCAACCTCCTGGGGCTCCTCCCCCCAGCTGGCCCCACCCCCAATTGGTGAGCCGACTGACCTCCTGCGGACCCCCCGCCCCCGCGCCCCTCCACTGCCCTGGCCCCGATGGGGCCCTGTTCAGGGGTGGGGTCAGCAGCCAACCACCCATGACCCTTCCTCCCCATAGGCCTCAATCACCTGGCAGGCTGAGGGACCCCACCCATGCATGAATTCGTGCACCAGGCCTCTAGTAATAATAATAATAATAATAATAATAATAATAATAAAGTCACACTATCCACATTATAGGACCGTTGTGAAGTTCTTCAGGAGGTTCTTACTGCATATGAAGCACTTAGTGCCTTGTGTATAATGATGATTAGTAAATGTTAGTCATTTTTATTATGCTAATGTGACATGATGGGTGGTTGCCTGGAAGAGAGAAAGAATGAAGGAATAGAGGGATAGGGTGCTGTGTGGGAAAGAAAAAAAGTACTGACAGTAGAATGGGACTGGCCTGTCTTCAGTTTTTAAAGTTCTCCAAACCAAACCTGTTTTAATCGTACTCCTAAGTACATGTCATGAATGGCATGAGTAATATTTTAATTTTTAGCTGTCCCTTAATTTTTTAGTTCTTTATTGAGATTCTGGTTGCATCCTGAACAAAAACAAAGCAAAACAACAAATCTCAACATCCCCCAAAATAGGGTTTTGAGGATTTGGATATCAGTTTGTAAAAACAAATTGTATTATGTTTCCAGCTGATGTGGTTTTTGTACATAAAAAATGCAAATCTTATCACTTGCATTACGTTGCTTTTTAAACAGATGAAGATGAAGATGGTGATCGAATTACAGTGAGAAGTGATGAAGAAATGAAGGCAATGCTGTCATATGTAAGTACATTACAAATGAGGACTATCTTAAATATATTACTGTGATTGAGGATGCTGTTTCTTGGCAAAGTGAAGGTATAAAAGTAAATCACAATTGCCATAACATTTTCCTATAGAGTATATAAGGTTTTCAAAGATTTCCTTATGTGAAAGTTAAGGGCATTCTTTCCAAAAGATACTTACTGATCATATCGTGAACATTAAGAATAATGCATCTTAATGACTTTTGCATTAGGTATGGTGCAGACTAAATGGACTATCAATTTCCTGTATTTTTTATGCAGTACTTAAAGTAACGGCTCATTAAAAATGAACCCCTGGGCTCTAAAAAATTTTTCAAAATCTACTTTCAACTGGCGATCTCTTTCACCCTTCCAAACACACTATAGTTATAATGTAGCTGCAGGCTTAATATGGATACACAATTTAAAGATGTGCTCTCCATTATTTTATCCACCCCCTTATATCCATCCCAAGATGAACTACTATGGGGTTACTTACTGAATCAAAGTGATTTGAATATATCCTGAAATGATTTTTCTTTTGTGTTTTGGATTTCAGTGAAAATTTGCATGAATGTTTGTCACAGGGCTGACGTAGATCAACAAGAGAAAAGACTACATTTCTAAAACTTTAGTACTGAGCTTGAAAAATTCAACTATGATAAAATAAATAAGTTTCCTCTTATTTTATTTTATTTTATTTTATCTGAGTTTGTATGTGTTTATAAAATCTCTAGTGGTCTGGTGAAAAGAGCATTGGACTGAAAGCCAGGAGACCCAGCTCTTTTCTGGTTTCCTGGCCTTAGGCAAATCACTTAACCTTTCTGTGCTGTTGTTGCCTCATCTGTCAGTTGTGGATAATAATACATGTCCTTTCTATGGCACAGGGTTATTGTAATGATCAAATGGGGGAGTAGCCGTGGAAGCCCTTTGAAAACTTAAAAGTTCTATACAAATGCAAAGTGGTATTATGGCGGAAATGATACTAATCTTAGCTAACAGTTAGATTGTAGGTTTTTGATAGACTTCAACTTCAACCCAAGGTATTGTTTCATTGTAATGAAAACTGTAAAATATCTTTGTGGGTTTCTGCCAATAGTTTTAATTTAGGGTAGGAAGAAAGAGAACAAGAAGAATGGCATGATTAACAGAGCGTTGCATTCAGAGCTGCACAGAGTAGGAAAAGTCAATTTCCCATTGACTTCCCATTAACTTACTTGAGAGTCCTTGTGCTTTGAGAATTTAGAGCAGGGCTCATCAGCACCTTGAAAGGTAGAGTAGGATGGTCTGCTGAAAGGTCTAGTACTAGTATTGATAGATTTCTAACTCTCCTGGGAACGTGACATGCTTATTTTTAGAAAACACACACGCATAGGTTGGTTCTAGTTTTTCACATGCATCTATTGCAGAGTACATTACTGACAGCAGGGTGCTTTCATTATGTCTCTGACATATCCACATAAAAAGGTGTGTTTTCAATAATGTACTTTGGGGAAGACCTGACAAATTGTGTCTTTTAAGAATGTTTCTTCATGTGATCATAATAATAATCATTTCTGGGTTTTTTGGTGCCTCATCTATAGACTAGATCAGCCGTGGGCAAACTACGGCCCGCGGGGCGGATGTGGCCCGTTTGAAATGAATAAAACTAAAAAAAAAAAAAAGACGGTACCCTTTTATGTAATGATGTTTACTTTGAATTTATATTAGTTCACACAAACACTCCATCCATGCTTTTGTTCCGGCCCTCCGGTCCAGTTTAAGAACCCATGTGGCCCTCGAGTCAAAAAGTTTGCCCACCCCTGGACTAGATGCTTATGGTATTTCATTTTCATTGGTTTTAATCACTCTGTGAGGTAGATATTGTACTTTCTATATTTTAGATGAGAAAGCCATGATTAACAAACATGCTGAAGGTCTTAGAGCTATGAATGTGAATATGGAATTTAAGTTCGGTTTCTTCTCCTAGCCAGGTAGCTCAGTTGGTTGAGTGTTGTTCCATTATGCCAAGGTTGCAAGTTCAATCCCGGGTCAGGGCACATACAAGAATCAACCAATTAATGCGTAAATAAGTGGAACAACAAATTGATATTTCTCTCTCTCTCAAATCAATCAATAAATAAAAAAATTTAAAGTTCAGTTTTCTCTTATGCCAAAGTCCACGATCCTTTACGTTTTACACTATTTCTCTCCTATTCACTTCCTTGCACATTAGTATTGGGATTTTTCTATGTTATAACCACTATTAAAATCTGAGTGATTAGTATTTATATAATACCTTAGTTGAGCTATCTGAGTATATATTCCCTATGATTTGTGTTTATTTTCTCAAATACAGTGCTTAGTTTTGTAGGAAAATATTAGCTATGTAATTGTTTTTAAACTTAAGTTCCTGAGACTTTTTGAGAACCACTTTTTAGTCTGAAAAGAAATCAAGTAGCTCATTGATCCCAAATACTTAGGTTTCATGAACTAATCAATCTTTCATTTTTAGGTTGGAAGACAGACATAGGCATGGTAATGTTTAATTTTGCCAATAAAACCAAACCTTAATACATAAACTAATAAAAGTATCTTGTTAACCATTATTTTATTAATAGAGTGGGAGTTATTTAAAGATTAAAACATTAGACAGTACATAATCTCAAAAGTAAAGATGATCATTAAAGTGAGTAAATTTAGTTTTAATGTAAAAAACTCACTACATTATTCTTTATTAATTTGCTATGGATATTGAAAACTTTTTTTATGAATTGGTAGTGGCTTACGGATTGTGGTCAGGCCAATTAGGTCCCGATTGTCTCACTAATTCATTGAACAAATACTTAGAGCCCTAGCCAGTGTGGTTGAGTTAGGTTAGAGTGTCATCCCACATCGGCGGGGGGGTGCAGGTTCAATCCCCAGCCCTTTGGTATTTCTTTAATATAAGCAAAGCAAAAATAGAAACACTTTTACCATAAATTCTTTATTATTTCCTATTGGTTACAAATGTTAAATGAATAAACAGCCTGAATCTCTGCCTAAAATTTTTTAAAAAAAATTGCAATGTGTAAGTTGTAACTTGCAGAATTGCTTTTTTTTTTAATTGGATACAAGCATTTTCTGGCTATGAGCCAACAGAAGCATAAGTTGTTGGGTGTGTTTGTTTGTTTTATCAGTAATTTAAGTAGGTTTTTGTATTAGATCTGAAAATGTTGCCTTTTTAATTGAAAACTTATCAATTATTTAAATTGTTAGCAGCCTTAGGCTGTTAATTTTATGTATGCCATAATAGTGACATACAGTGGATTTTGATACATGTGACACATGGAATATCGCATTGTGGTAAGGATTTGTCATAACAATAGATTGTTGTGTGCTGTTTAAGTAATAACCAATATATTAAACCGAAGTGAAGCCACACATTAGTACCATTTTATGTTAGTTATTTAGAAGTTGCATTCTTTTCTTCATTGGATATATTTTTATGACATAATGAGAAGAAAACAAGGCTATAATAAATTGTCTTTTAAGAAAATTTAAAGTAATTTGGTCTCTGAGGAGATATTTAATGTATTGAGAGAATTCAACAGGCAAGTGTTATTTCAGCACCATTTGTGATAGCTCTCTGTGTTTTGTTATGAGTTTGTGTTAATCAACAATCTGTTTTTATAGCGTAGTCTCTTATAAGTTATGTTGTTAGAATATTCCACTTCTGGGATCATGCCTTTTTCTCTGACACTATTGTATCTTTTTAATTCCTCCATAAAGTATTTTTTTAATTAGAATTTGAAATGCTTTATTAGGAAAAAAATACACCCAACCTACATATTTTGAAAACTGAATACCTGATCATTGCTAATTACTTAAAAGACCCTGTTAAATATTCCCTTAATGTATTTTACATTTTTTTGTTTTGTTTTCCCCTCTCATTTTCTAGAAAGATTGAAGATAGTATGCTGCTTTTCTTCCATTTTTTTTTTTGTATTTGTTGCCTCGTAGTGCTGGCTTCATTTCCCTCCAGCATCAAAAAACAATGCCGGGCCTTGTTTATTGATTCCTCATAAGCTTTATCTATCACTGAGACCCAGCTATAGGAAGGGGTTATTTTCATGTTAACCTCTACTTTTGGGTGACCTTTCACTAAGAAACTCAGTAGTACATTTTACTTTTGTAAGGGGGTTCATATTTGTTTCTGCTAAGTCCTATGTCTAATAAAGGATTTATTGCACTTGGTTCTTTCGATACTGAGGCGCTTGTATGAGTGCAGCACAGTAGTAACAAGAATAATTTTCTTCATTTTGCCCATTCTCTCTCTTTATACCATTTTTCCCCACATTGCCAGAAAAGAATGGGATGAGTTTAACTGTAAAGCCTCCCATTAAGGCTGAGCCCCTGTGTTTTAGTAGAGTGTAAGTATTCCCTGTGGTACACTTGACCATAGTTAGACATGGTACCATGAGGGAAACTACTTCTTGACCTCTATAGCACTTTGTAAATTGGGATATGATTAGCTTTAGCCTACCTAATATGCTCAACTTGGAGATTGCCTCTAAAATTATACAGTTACTCAAGTAGAGTTGGAAGGGAGGCTTAGAGGTCTTGTCCATCTGTTTCATTTTACAGAGCAGGAAACAGGCCCAATGAGATCAGATTCAATTGCAGGTCATTTTGGTGATGAATGGGAAGGTCTGGACACAGATCCAGGCCTTTGGCTCTCAGTCCTTTCATTCCCAGTCTCTTCACTCCCAGTCTTAGGTGATGTTTTTGTTTTGGAATCTACTGAGGTAATATTATTAATATTATTAAATATAAAAAATACTCTGGGCTTTTAAAGTTTCAAAGATTTTCTTCTTACCTTTAAGGCTGAGTCTTACCCCACATTTTCTTGCTGTTAGGAGTTGAACATTTTACAACCTCGGCCTTTGCTATTAGAAAGTTTCCCTCAAAGAGCAATGAGACTGAAAGCTCATTTTCCACATGGTGCTTTTAAACATTCCCCATATTGAGTAGGTCCTA